TTTTCCTCAATCTCTTTGCCCTTTAAAAAAAAAAAAAGTAAAAGCTAACAAACTTTTTTAATTAGGCCCACAATTGAGCTACCTCCCTTCCTCTCCCTCCCTCCCTCTCACTCTCCCTCCATCTCTATTTCGCTGTTTGCTTTCTTACACTGCCAAGCACTTTCGTCCAATAAATTTCCTAATGAAATTAAACTAAAGGCCAGAAAACTAAAATCTCAGAGCAGAAACTTTCAGCCGAGTTTAACATTTCGTTGCGGGCGCTTTCGATTGCTAGGCTTCAGGCCTTCAAGTGAAGGGCTTAAATTGTGGCACGTTGCACGTGCAGCCGATTATAATTCCGATCTCGCTGCCATATGCCCGGCTAACCCAACGGCAGCAGTGCGTGTTCCTAGAAGAACTCTCTGACGGGCCAACACACACACGCACACACACACACATTCGACTGCATAAAATTAGACATACACATCTTTCGGGCTGGTGGGCGTGAGGCGGGGAAGTAATATTTTTTTTTTTTGTGCTGCTGGAATTTGTATTTGTTGTATTTGGTGCGAGCGAAGCGGCAATGCAATAAATCCTGAAAACTGACATGACATGACAAACAGGATTACACGTGGCTTGCCTGGCAAGGCTTAAATTGGTAACACACTCCATTCCATACGGCACTCGAGGCGAGGGCAGGTGGGTGTGGCAGCTGGGAGCTGGGCATGTGGCAAATGTTGGCATAACGAAAATGGACCACAGTCAGCCAGCAGCTGAGGGTTAATTAGTGGATAACATAGCCCAGACTTTAACCAAATCTACCCTGGCCCCTCTGGCAAAAGCTCCGTTACAATTTCAGTGTTAGTTTCCTGCCCGGGAGAGAGTGACAGGTGGTGCCTTTCCCCCCACCCCCTGCAAGCTAAGAGCTGGTGTGCAGCACGCAAAACTCAACTCAGCTCAGCTCGGCTCTAATTAATACCATATATCCCCAACCAGCAGCCCCACCCCGCTCCCCCTAACGCCACGCGACTAAATGATTTGTGCTGCCCACAAATTTATTTATTCATGCCCATTTTTATTTCTGCACTTCAGATTGATTTATTCGCATTGGAC